GGCAACTGAAACCCCCACAAACTGTGAGCTACAAGAAACTTTTCTTCCTTCAACTTTGGGTATGATGTATTTTGTTTCATCTATGAGAAATGTAACTATGACACTTTTCTTTTGCTAGCAAATATTCCTAAATATTTCCCCACCTCAGATTTTCAAATACCTGCTTTGAAGCAGACACCATTCCTGATCTTTACTTTTCCTGTTTTGTCTATGTCCCCATGATCACTTTTCATGTAGGCATTTCCACTGTCCTCTACAGGTGGGGAAACGTTCTATGTAAAACTTCACTGAGATCTATCTTATTTCACAAAGATGCTCTGTTCTGGCAAATTCAGAAGATGAGAGCACACACCTGACCAATGTCAAATTGCTTTTGCAGAAGCAGCTGGTGTAGGTAAAATGAAGGTTTGGAGAAGAAAATGTGAGCATTAAAGGAGCTGACCCTTTTCAGAATGTACTTGTAAGACTCCCACTCTGTGGAGGAGAGAATTAGACACGATTTCTGCTCTCGAGGATCTCTGCATCATGGGAGACCTTAAGGACACAAATAGGCATATAGGTAGGACTGAGAAAAGATTAAACTTGTGAGACTCAGAGAAACCCAGCTGCTGTGGCAAGGAATTAGGTTCAGATTTATCCTGAAAGAGGAGACGACCGTCTGTGAACAGGATGGTGAGGGTTTAAGTCCTGTTGTACAGGAAATTGATACCTGGATCGATATCATCAACTATGTCAATGCAGGAATGACAGAGAGATAGGAAAAGTGTAGATGGAAGCTATGGATGGGACAGCATCATGGTTTGGGGACAGACATTTCAGGCTAGAAGGAGACAAGGTAATCCTGAGACATGGGATTGAGGAACATCGACAACAGGCCATGAATGGAATAGATCAGCCAATTGCACTTACTGATAAACTTTATAAGACCATCTTTGGGGCTGAATAATATTTTCTCATGCACTCTAGCTGACTGGTTAAATATGTATCTCAAAGAGGGATACATTATAAGACAACATCATTAATTTATGGTTTAGGAGCCATAGACTTCAACTCTGGGCTTAATTTCAGCAAAGTTATTAATTTTTACAAATGAGTAACTTTTCTTGATTGCAGGAATTGTACCATGAAGAGTTTGAGTTCAATCTTGATTCTACCACAGCTAAAATCTATGATCTTCAACAAGTCTTTTGATATTTCCCAGAATCATTTGCAGTGTACATGGGCTTTAAAGATTAAATTAAATCATTTGGCAAAACCTAGCAAACAAAATGTAAACATTGCATATTTCCACTACTTTATATCTTTGTTATTAAAATAAAGAAGATTAGATAAACAATAATGCAGGTTTATTTTACTTATAAATGTCTCTTATTCTGTAATACAAGGACTGTGTTTTAAAGCTATATAGTCATCAATACATCTATGAGATATGGAAATACATCATCCAGAATTCCTCATAAAGGAAGGATTAATGACAACGAAGTAACTGTCTTTAATGACCGACAAAGCATTACCCAGTAACATCTATACATTTTGATCATTCCGCAAACTAGCTTCTATGTTCAAGACATTCAATTATATGACAGAAACAGTGGGAATCTTTCCTTAAAAACTATAATTAACCTCCAGAGCCTGGCACCCTGAGAAATTCATCAATACTGTTCACTGTGGAAAGATGTTCTGGGAATGCTTTTCTTTTCTAAATTGTCTATTGTGCTTTTTTGAAGACCCTACTAACTGTAAGGGTAATGTTCAATCGCTATAGAAAATAAGTTTAAGTGAAAATCAATAAAGAAAATAAGGAAAAGTGGCTTCAAAAGAGAAAGGACATAGATTTGGGAGGCATCTTAAAGGATATGAAAGCTCTTCGCTATAGCAAGTCTCTAGACGTGAAAACCACATAACGTACTGGTTTCTATACTTCCTCAATGACTCAGTCTTTGTCTACCACAATCTTTGTCTAGATTGGGATTATCTCTTCAAGTGAAATTCAAAGAATAAATATTTCTGAATGTGAACTATCAGACAAGGTGAAAGTAAAGCACTGGTTTTTCATCTTTCAATTCTGAGATCGCTGATTTTAAGTTAATCTCAAGTAGCTAAAGTACAATGTTAAATTTTGTCATTCTCCCTCATCATTTTAATGTTTAGGATTATATTATTTATGCTGATATCTCTACTGTTCAGCACAGGACCCAGGATAGGTGCTGAATAAATCACAAAAAGTATAAATGAATGAATAAATGAAAATGGACATCATTCAAAGTATTAGCATATGACGCTTGGCTCTGCCAATCTGAGAACAGTATCTACCCTACTTCAAGATATAAGCAAAGAGGGCTGGTGAGATGGCTCAGTGGTCTAAAGCACCTACTTAGAACAAGCTTAGCCAAAGCACAGGGACGGCACTTTGATCCCCCAGCACCACATGCCAGCCAGCCCCGCCCCCTGGTGGGCTGAACTGGCCACACACACAAACACAAATAAATAAATTAATTAATAATAATAATAAAAAGATATAAGCAAAGATACTGTGCAAGAATGACATAAGAAAACCTAACTCTATTTCTGTGTGTTCTCTGCTGCACTTTGCTTTTTTTACCCCATCTGAGCACCTGTGCCCAGCAGTCCTGATTACTGTCAATTTGCAAGCACACACACTGAAGGGGGAGAAAGTGTGATGAAACGTGGCCTATAGGTACACAGGCTTGCAAATGCACAGCTCTAAGCCTTCAATTTTGCAATCATGTGCTCAGCATAGCACATGTGTGGGGGCAGCCACAGCTGCCCGCCCACCTTAGCACCCGGAACCAAGTGGTACTATCTCTCCTTGACATCCACTGCCTCACTGCCTCTGCCGATTGAACCTTCTACCAGGCCTTTGTGTTCTCACTGGGCATGCAACCTTCTGTCAGTCTCCACTGTCCCCTTGTGCAAGCACACACACACACACACACACACACACACACACACACCATTAGGACAGCCTGAATCCTTTTGTTTGTTGGATTTATGGGTAGCTCTGGTTCACCACAGGTTGTCAGGAGATATGCGTTACCTGAGGAAGGACTGGTTTTAACTAAATTACCTTATTCTTTGTTTCAGACAGTCCAACTACAAACTATAAATTAAATATATTTTTCCTGTATGAAAATTGTTGAATCTTTGAGCAGCTGACAGGGTCGCCTCAAACCACAACATAGACATTTCATTTGATTGCTTCCACACATTAAAATAATCAAGTGACCATTCCCGTTTGGTCCCATTTGTCTATGATGCCACATGTCTGAGCATTTCACTGTCACACCTGCTATGCTCATCAGGAGGAAGGCTCAGGACTGAACTACGCGGAGGAGTCAGCCATGGCCTGCTCTCACAGCAGGGCAGAGCAGGCCGCTCTCACCACGCCAGCATGGAGGAAGACATGAGGCTGAGTGCTGCCCTTTCCAGGGCCTTTGTCTCTAAGGCAAGACTTTCTGATAGAATTAAGGATGGAAACTTCCTCCCAATATATGATGAAAACCCTGCATAGTGGTGGACTTGTCACAACTTGTTGTCACTCCTTTATTCAAATATGCTATTTGCCTTTCTACCAGGGTACTAGGTTTCCTAAGCGTGCTCTCATACTTTCTCTCTCTTTCTCTCCCTCTCTGTCTCTCTGTCTCTGTCTCTGTGTCTGTCTATCTCTCTGTCTCTGTCTCTGTCTATCTGTGTCTGTCTGTCTCTCTTTCTGTGTGTCTCTGTCTCTTTGTCTCTGTCTCTGTCTGTCTATCTGTCTCTGTGTCT